CTCATTTTGACTTCCTTTATGCACAGTGAGACACCAGGGCTGCTTCTATAATTGGTCTCCTCTACAGTTGGCCACATTGGCTCAGCTCTAGCATAAGTGGACTGGTTTTGGAGGTCCTCACCTGCACCCCAGTGAGACAGATTTGCAATCACAGTTCAGTGTGTGCACAGTTCTCAGCAATCAGGCTTCTCAATATGTAGTCATGTCTTGGCTGGGGTTTAGGGATCAGGACCCTCCCTCCCATCTCCCTTATGTGGTTACTGAATTGTCTCCTTGCATTATATTTTTAGCTCACCCAGGTTCTGCTTGATTTAATTTATGTATAATTCAGTTTATTCACTGTGTATAGTACTATAGGTTTTGACAAATGTATAGGATTATGTGCTCATATGCCCAGTTCCATGTAGGATAGTTCTGTCACCTACAGACCCCATGGCCACTTCATATAAACCTTTGCAACTACCCACCTAGCTTCCCTTTCCAGAATGTCATGGAAAAGGCAGTATAAAACATGAGCTTTTGGGATGGCATAGAGTCCTTGCTGCCCTGCCAAAGGACCCAAGTTCAGTTTCCATCACTCATGTCCAGGGTGGAGGGGCTCAAAACTACCTGTAATTCCAGCTCCAGGGGGACCCAAAATTCCCGGCCTGCAGGTATGCACTTTCCTATGTATATAATTAAAAATAATAATAATAAATCTTAGATTATGTAGTTTTGTGGGTCTAACCTCTTTGATGTAATGAAACATGAAGAGTTAAAACACCGAGTCGCATTTCCCTCTCTTTGTACTCGGTAGTATTCCATCAAAGCTTCATGCTGCATCTCATTACCCATCAGCCCATTAAAAAATAGCTGAGTTGCTTCTGGTCTGTGGAGATTATACTATAGAAACTTTCATGTGACTCAAAGTTGGAGTTTGAGACCTAGAAGTAAGGTAATACAGTAAGACCAATTATGTTTTGAAGAAACAGCCACTCCTTGCCATCACCCATCATTCTCCAGCAGTGGTAGAATTTTTGCATTTCTGCTATCTTTAAAGTCATTTTCAGTCTGCATAGAATTAGTCAATCTTCTTACCCCTGTTATTACATTATTTTTCATGTGTAGCATTTTATTTTTTAGTTTCATTTTTCAGTTTTCTTAATGGTACTGAGGATGGAGCCCAGGTCCTCTCAATGCTTGCTTACTAGGCAAGCGCTCTACCACTGAGCTACATCCGTAATTTTTTTGTTTTTGAGATAGAGTCTTCTTCTGTTTCTCAGGCTGGTTTCAACTTTGGTGGTTGGTGGGGATTGGTGGTATGTCCTACCAGCCCTAGTGTTACAACATTGGTTACTCATGCTATAGTTTCCATCTCTAAACTGACACTCCCATTGGGCATTGCATGTTATTCATCTTTTCCCATTAAAGATTTGGATGCTTGTTGTCTGTCGTCACTGCACGAAGGTTTCATGTTCCTCTTAAGATACCTTGTGCTTTGGATGGGGGCTGGTTTACAAGAATGGTGTCTGTTCAGTATTTCAATTGATGGTCTTCCTTTGGGGCTGTGATTCAGATTCAGTCTCTGCTCTGGCCCTTCCTGCCTTCCCTGTACTGAGAGCTGTCTTTCCAAGCTCCTTAGCTTGGCATTGGGTATAAAAGCAGAAAATAGTGCACACTTCTGTTCTCACTGGGTTCCATACGTGCGTGCTCTGTGTTCTTGGCTTCCTGGACTCCAGTTGCTTAGGTCCCCTCCCCCTCCCCAGGCCCGGCAATAGTCTTGTTCTTCGCACAAGGATGAAAGTTCTGTTTCCTCCTGTTTCTTTCCCACATTGCAGTGAATGTCACCAGCGTCTGAGACCATCAGTGCCCATTGTCCTTTACCTCACTAAATCAGACTTTGGTTTCTACAGTGGAGAGGGGAGAAGGGCCCAAGTGAAGTTCTTTGCCTCTCCTGAGGCTGCTGCTCCTTTCCCAGATCAGAGCCAAATAGAACACTTCTTAGCACTTGGCACTGAATGTCTAGATGAGCTCCATGGTGTAGGCACCTCAAGATCCCCATCGCTGTTCCAGTCTTAACAGCAGACACCTGGCCGGAAACAACTTTGATTCTGTTGACCATTTTGATGAACTCCTCTGGCCAGTATTCTGTTTCCGTTATCCTCAGTGACACACTCTTGTCTGTTGCCTTGCAGACACTGTCTTGCCTGAGATTTGGGCTATTGATAGTCTCAAATTTCAGTTCTTTGCTGAGTGGGGAAAAAGTCATGCATGTAAAGTTAGGTCTACTCTCATGTTTTTACAAAGCAATGATTTTCAGCGTAAGCAGGATCCAGCCTAGCTAGACTTGGCAGGAAGTTAGCATTTGATGAAGCTTTCCTCTTCAGTAGCCTCTTCTGGCCAACCAGTTCCTTGTTGTCCTTTGTTTCCCCATTTTCTGAGGCACCCAGAGCTCCCAGGTACTGATCCAGAAATCCCTCATTCCAGCATGGGCTCTGAGTGTGACTCAACTAATTAATGTTGTTCTGTTTATTTTACAACATAATAGTAGAACCTTGAAAACAAAACAAAACAAAAAAACATTCTAGTCTTTTTCATCCCCTAGAAATCACCCTCCAGTGTTTCGGTGCATAGTTCCTATAAGACTTTTCTGTAAGAATTTATCTTTGTAAGAATTTATTTCTGCCATGCAGAAAAAATAATATTAAAATAAATGAATACTTGGGAAGTCCAGTAAAAATATCTACTACCTATTTCTCTGTTTGATTTTTTTCTGTTTTTCAAAGGGAGTGGGCTCCCTTTCCAGGTGGAACACTTCCCATGAATCCAGTGAATACCTGCACCTTCAGCTAGTACTTCATGCTGGTTTTCATGGGCACAGTAAAGAATTAGCAACAATAATGCATAGACTAAAGCAGTTATACCATTATAATAATGAAAATTATGTAGTGTACCTCTCAGGTATTTTCTGCACTGTGTTCACACTTCTTCCTATGGCAAAATGATGCATGCAAAGCCCCAGGGCTGAGATGAAGTGAGATGAATGATGTGGGTGTTGTTTATATAGTGTTAGACATTTCAGTGACACAGCAGCCCACCCGACAGTACTTGACACTCTGTACATCCTATTACCAAGACAGTCTACTAAGTGAGTAGCAGGCAGATCTTTGTTCACCACTGGGCAAAGGGCTGATCCATGTTCCAGGCAAGACAGAGCAAGCTGGGAACAATCTTACCCCATTATTCAGAACCGTGCATAGGATAAAACCTAGTATTTCTGGCATCCTCTGCTTAATTTTTATTTTTTTTACCACAATCCAAAATTGAAACCAGTATCATAGTTTAATAAAAAATTAGAATGTATCACACACAACTAAACCATATATGGTCTGACATCCGTGTGGGCTAGTGACAAAGAAATAGTGTAGATAGTTTCACATCTCTCCCTTAAATGTTAGCTTTCCATTTCGCATGATTTTAAATACTGCAGTTTTTTTTAACCTAGCTTCACGTGAAGGCATGAAAATTTTGACACTGTCACTTGAATCATCTAGACTATTTCTTGAAAAGTGATATTGGTGTTAATGATAATATTTTTAGATACTATTTCATTTTTTTGTAAGAAATGGGTCAAGTCATATAGACACAAGAAGAAGTGTCAGTAACTTCTGGAAAGAGAAGAGGGGCCTGTGGTGATGGCTCTGTGAGTAAAGGGTCTGCTTCACAAGCATGAGGACCTGAGTTCAGATTCCCAGGACCCCATGTAAAAAGCTGAGCACAGCAGCGTATGCCTCTGACCATGGTGCTGGGAAGGAGACAGAGGCAGATCTTCCAGAGGTTCACTAGCAAGCCAGTCTAGCTGAAACAAGTCTCAGGTTCAGTGAGAGACTCAAAAAACAACCAGGAGAAATGACTGAGGAACTATGTCAACCTTTGGCTTCCACGTGCAGCTGCATGGGTGATATATGCCCCCCCCCACGCACACCCCTCCCACACACAGGGCTGGGGGATAAGGCTTTAAACATCAAATGAGCATTATTACTAAGAAATCAATTAAAACATGTTTCAAATACAGTTCATATTTAAATTATTTTACTAACAAGTCAAATACCATCAAAGTGTTATTAGTATATTAATTTCTTTAATAAAAGGAAGAGATAGGTGTATAAATTCATGACATGACTACTCCATGGTTAAGAGGAGGTTTTTATTGTAGATCTGAGAGAACAGCCAGAGGCATCTGGAAGAGTCTAGAGCAGAGAGAGAAAGTGGTAGACTGAACATAGCCAGCTGCTTGGACCTGGCCAGGGGAGAAGCAGGGGCAGAGCAGAGTGGTGGGGGTGAAGTGGGCATAGAGAGAGAGCAAGAAGGGGGAGGGAGAGAAGGAGGCCAAGAGGAAGACAGAATGAGAACATTGAAAATAGAATTACACAGAGAATCAATAACTGGGGGAGGGAAGTCCATGAGCTAGAGAAGTTAGGGTAGAGGAAGAGGTAAGAAGAGCTGGGATGGACTTTGAACTGTGTAACAACTACATGTAATACTGAGGGAGCCTAGAGGCCAGCTTGCTATGGTATGCTAATGGGTACCACAGATAGCCATCTGTCCCTTCTGCCTTTCGGAATTTGGAGAAATGGGGTTTCCTTTGGATCTGACAATAGGAAAATAGAAAAAAGCTTAGGAGAAGTTGATCTTTTTTTATTTTTGTCATACTTAAGAATTTTTCCAATAAAATATTTGAGGCTTTATTTCCTTTTATTACATCCCACACTTGGCTTGTCCTTTTCTCTTTGAAGGCTCATTTCATGTACCTCCCTGCTACCCTGACCATGGCCCTTATCCTCACGTCCTCCTAGTCCCTGCTACTTGACTGGCTGCCACTTGTCATTTTTCTGGTGTGTGCTCTGGGTAGCCCCATCTTCAATATGCTTCACAGTGTTGCCAAGCTTCTAAAAGTGAAAACATTGTGTTTGTGTAATTGTAGAACATTCTATAACAAATCTTCTTGTTTGTCACATCAGATGAAAAGCAAAGATTCGGTTATGAGCGGTCTGGATATGATCTTGAAGAATCAGATGGCCCCGATGAGGATGATAATGACAATGAAGAGGATGATGAGGACAGCCAGGCAGAGTCTGGCCTCTCAGCAGCACCCTCAGTCACAGCCAGCCCACAGCATCTTCCATCCAGAAGTGGCCTTCAGGATCCTGGGAGTGTAGAAGAGGACCTTAGGGTTCCCAGTTGCTTCTCAGGGGCACACACAGACCCCATGGACATTCTGCCTAGAGCGTTACTCACTAAGATGACTGTCCTCAGCACAGTACAGATTGATCCCAACAGGACAGATTTACCAGCAAAGGCCACGCAGCATACTGCAAAAGATGAGCATGAAATAGTTCCTCATGTAGACACTTCCAGGTCCCCAGAGGTTACCCCCAGGTCTCCTGGCCATCAGATGTCTGTGGATTACCCTGAATCTGATGTTCTGAAAAGTCCTACAGCTGCAAAGACTGTTGCTTCAATACAGGTAGATGAGCAGTGGTTGGGTTTTGTTTTATTTTTGTTTTTTCCTCTTATTCCATTAGGAAAACCTAATAGATTAAACCTAATAGATTTAAAAAGTCATTCATGACCATATGAGTATGTACCTTTTTGTTGTTATAGCCAGTGACAGAATTCATTTATGTCTGTTAAAGCACTGTTAATTATATTGACAAAAATCCACATATTGTATTATAGCTTGTGGTGCCTCTTTTAAAAATACTCCTTCATTATTTGCTGTTTTTAAAAATCACAATAAAATCTGTATGTACCAATTGTAAACTCACATCCCGAGACTTAAGAGTCCAGTGGCTGACTTGTTTTTCACTAGTGTGGATATGGTGCGTCTGCAGCATGTTATCCAGATCTTGTGCTTGGTCTGCTCCTGTGGACAGTAGTTAGCAGGCTTCATGACAAAATTAACCTGACACAAACACGACTCAAGAATTCATGTTGTTTGGATGAGCAAACTGCTGGGAGATCTTGGGAAAGTTTCCTTCCAGGAAGCAGCTCAGGGCCAGACACCAGCTCCAGAGAAGTTCAGGAAGTATGCTGCACGCTTTTCCATGGCTGCTTCCTAATCAACACATAATTCTCTTTCCTTGACAGTTCTCTTCCCTCTCCTATGTGTTTAATAAGGCAGTAGGATGTTTTTCTTATTGGGAAAAGATGTTTTCCACTAGAGAAAAACAAAAACCTATAATTTTACATACTAGCCTAAACTAACTTCATCTGTCAGTTTAATACAGAAATTGAATTATAATGTGAACTAATGCAGCTCCTTAACAAATACATATATATATATATATATATATATATATATGCAAATTCATGTATATATTATCAAGAAAAAGGTAGTATTTAGATAACACTCATGGGTGGAAGCGGGGAGGATAGGCAAGATTCATCCCTCCCTAACACTGGGTTCTTACTGCTGTATCTCAGCATCTCACATCTCACCAGTGCCTGAAAATGCAGTCTTTAGTAGACATGTTATTAGCTTATGAATCAGTGAGCAAATAAATGAACAACTGCAGACCTTTGTCTTAGTAATAGCTCTTCACTTCATGAGTGAATAATTTTTCAGTTAATTTTCTCCCAGTTGAGTTGATGCTCACAGCCAACTAATATGGCAATTTCTCAACATTTCCTAGTCTTTAAAATAAATTGGTGCTGGTGATGCCAGAAAAATAGCATCAACATAAAAATATAACCATGCTCATCTATCAGTATCAAATGGTAATACCCAGGAAACTGGTTTGCAAATTGCAAAATACAAAATGTTTTTCTGGCATTGTAGTAGGAAAGAAATTAAAATGGAGATTTTTGTTGTTGAAAATACAAGTCAGCAACTCTACAATACAAACATATACTCTTAACTCCTTAAGAGTTAAGAAAAGAACAGACTGAACACTAGTACTTTAGCTGTGATGAAGGAAGCTCTGCTAGCAAGGCTCATTGTCTCTTGTCTTGTAGGATTCACCATCTGTAAGACTTCCGCCTGCTGTAGCCCAGCTCAACCCTCAGCCAGCAGCCAGGATTCCTTCCTCAGTCTCACCTCACCCCGACAGTCAAGAACCGAAGCAGCAAATAACCTTGCATCCGCCTCCAGGCTTGCCTTCCTCTCAGACGCATTTGTTCAGCCACCTCCCCTTGCATTCCCAGCAGCAATCAAGGACCCCATACAACATGGTTCCTGTTGGCGGTATTCATGTGGTGCCTGCCGGCCTCACATACTCCACTTTTGTACCCATTCAGGCCGGGCCAATGCAGCTTACCATCCCTGCTGTGAGTGTCATTCACAGAACCATGGGTACCCCTGGGGATACCATCACGGAAGTTTCTGGCACTACTAGTCGCCCCACCGGAGTGGCTGAATTGAGCAGTGTTGTGCCATGCATTCCCATCGGCCAAATCCATGTGCCAGGCCTGCAGAACCTAAGTCCCCCAGCCTTGCAGTCGCTCACGTCCCTGGGTATGGAAACGGTCAATATCGTGGGCCTGGCCAACGCCACCGTGGGCCCGCAGGTGCACCCCCCAGGCCTGGCCCTCAATGCAGTGGGGCTCCAGGTTCTGGCTAATGCGCCTGCCCAGAGCAGCCCCGCCCCACAGGCACACATTCCAGGTCTCCAGATCCTCAACATCGCCTTGCCCACCCTGATCCCCTCGGTCGGCCCAGTGGCTGTGGGCAGCGCGGGGACCCCTGAGACTGCGGCTTCCAACAGCAAAGCGCCCGAGCTGCAGACGCCCGCAGGCCAGGGACACAGCGCCGAGCCACCTCAGGGGTCACCCGAAGGCCCTCAGGAAACCCCCAAAACAGTGCCCGGCCCCTCGGCAGACCACGCAAAGCCTGAAGGCCCAAACAAAATGGACACCACCAAGAAGGCGGTCTCAGTGAGTCACGTGTTGCCCGGGCGCTCCTCTGCGCAGGCGCAGCCGACACCCACGCCGGAAGCTATACAGAAGGCCCCAACTTCAGGCTCTCCATCGCTCCCCTCAGACAGACCAGCTCTCAGACCCCCAGGGCCCCACAGGCAACCCATCGTGCACTTCAGCGACGTGAGCAGTGATGATGACGAGGACAGGCTTGTCATAGCAACCTAGTGGTTTATTTTTTATTGATTTTTTTTAATAACAGGTTTTTTTGAAAACCCTTTCCTTAAAGCACATTTTTTCTGACATAAACTCATGACTAATCTTTGTGCAATCATGAACTTTTGACCAATAATTGTTGTTTTGTGTCAACTCCAGCCATTTTTGTACATGTTGTATAGACAATTGTGCCTTTTAGGAGTTTTATGTTTAGAATCTGTACAGATGGTTGAATGTCTATATACATACAAATATGTTATATATGTATATGAAAACCAGGTAGTTGTGTTTAGTAGAAACCTGTCAAATAAATCAGATGATTAAATTATATGTTGCACTGTTAAATATAAATTTTTATGGCTGTGGGGCAGTTTCTGTGTATAAATTAGTATGTAAACCCCATATTTATTGTATTCATATTAGTCTTTGCAAATGGATCTGTCATTGTGTAAGACAGTAACTGTACACTTCAGGCAGATTTTCTGTGTTACGAACTGTTTCAGTAAAATACTGTTTACCGACTTCAGTGGTGCTTAAGTCGTGCTGTCTTTAAGCCTCTTTGGGAAAGTAGCTCCCAGGTCTGTGCCTTCCGCAGCTGGTCCTTAGTTCTGACAGACAAACCTTTAGTGGTCTCTTTCCCTGTGCAATGTGCTGGAGCCCAGCAATCGGGAGCTAAAGACAAATAATTGTCCTAATTGTCAGGTGTAGTTTTGTAGCTTTTTACTTGTTAGAGGATTGAATTCTTAATATTTTCCATAAATGCATAAAACTGACATCCTGAAAAGAATGAAGACCTTAAATGTGGCTATGGAAAATGTAAATTAAGTGAAAAACAGTCATGAGACCTACAATGCTCCCTCCCACTCTTCAACCCTGTGTTCCTTAGTCAAGGGCTCCTATTTCTTTCAGATATGCTTTTATGTAGAGTTCTGTCCACTACCAAACCCTAAAGGACCCAAGTTATCGGTGAGAAAAACCTAGATCTGTAATTTAAGTGACTCTAGAAATGATTGCTCCTATCCTGAGAAATCCATCTTGGTCATTTAGGAAGATGGCAAGTGGTGGATGCCACAATTCTCACTGCGACTGTGCCTTATTATCTACGGATTGCAGGTGCCAGGTTTGTGTGGAAACTATTTGGTGTTGGGATTGGAATATTTAGCACAACTTTAGGGCAGTATGTCATAGGTTTACATGTTCTCTTCATGAAGCCACTGAGACTATGTCAGACGGGAGAGTCTGTGAGGACTTTGGAGACACCTTGATAGTCACCCTGAAGATCACTTCTGGTTTTGGGAAAGGTACTTGGAGCCCCACCAGTCTGTCTTGTAATTGGGATTACCAACCTGTACTCCAATGACAAGCAGGCTCTCTGGATCTATGGTGCTGTGGGCATGTGTTTTTTCTTATGAAGGTACAGTTTTGCAGCTTAGGTCATTAAATTCCCATAAATAGTGCAGACTTCATTTTGAAAAGAATTCTAGAAAACTCAACTATAGAAGTTCCGTTGCTCTCAAGTGCAGTTGAAACAAGTTCTATTACCCAATTTCTTACAGTCATTGTTTTAACTTCTTACCATGACCTATATCTACTTTTGCCCAAAATTTTAAAGTAAGCAACACTATCCCCAATAAGGATACTGTAGATGGGGCTGAATTCTCTGAACTCAAAAGTCATGCTTGCTAACTTCAGCACTTAGGTTTTCAAATGGTTTGAATAGAATATTATTAATTTGGAGGATTCCTACATCTAACCATGGATTAAATGTCGTTTTATACTTGATGTCTTTGGGAAATTTAATAATGATCTAGGGTAACTTAATCTCATTTTGTACTTTAGCTCTCTCAAGATTCATCCCATTATGCACATAGCATTAATACTAATGACTTTCTTGTTTTAATGTGGCTTTTCAAGTATTTTCCTAATGCAGTTAGTCATCATGCTTCAGATTAAGGTTTTCAAACTACAATAAGGCAAAAAACAGATCCATTCTCAAACTGCTTGAAATTTGGGTTTTTCCTGCTAGTGATAAACTGGGTGCTGGGCCGCAGCAGTGACTCCAGTTTGCAGTCAGCCTTGCAGTCCCAAAGGAGAACAACAGTAATGGAGTATGCTACCCTAGATTGCCCAGAAGGATGAGTGTGTGCAATCACTGCATTCTTTTTTATTCAACCATGTTTCCAACTTGTGGCAGTATATCAGGATATAATTCCATCATAGCTGAGGGTCATCTTGGCCAGATATAAAGTATTTCCAAAACCTGAGTCATTGTATTTGAAGTACGTAACTCAGTGGTAGACTGCTTGCCTAGCATATATTAAGTCTCAGTCAGTGATTCTCAACCTGTAGATCACAACTCTTTCAGCAAACCTCTATCTCCAAAAATATTTACATTATAATTAATAATAGTAGCAAAATCAGTTATGAAGCAGCAGTGAAAATAATTTTATGGTTGGAAGTCACTACAACATGAGGAACTGTATTAAAAAGTTGCATTATTAGGAAGGTTGAGAACCCCTGCCCTAGGTGATTCTGCAAAAAGAAATTTAAAAACAGTATGAATGCTAAAACCTTTTTGCATGAATCTACCATCATGCCACTACCAGCAGTGTTGGGAAAAACACCTGAACTGAAGGTCATGTTTCTCATTTCCACAGATGAATTTACCTGTTGGAAAACTTTATTGTAAGTTAACATAAATCAAGGGCATTCAACTAACTTGTTTTCATGCTCAAAACTTTAGCCACAGCGATAATTATTCCTTTCAGAACGATAATTAACTGACATTTAATGTAGAGATTTTTGCTTCTCATTTCTTGTTTTTATAACACAGCTATGATTTTCCTTTCACAGAAGTGGTGTAAATAGCACTTTTGTCATTAATCTCTGACCTCAATTTTAAATGATGTCATTTAACATGATGTCGCTTAACAAGGATTAGGAAGTATGGTAGGTATTTTTGTTTGAAGATTGTCAAGTACGTTTTCTTTTTTGATAAATGCTCAGATCAAACTGCACCACATTCTTGGCATTTCTTCTGTTGACCTTCAGTCTTTCCCCGGTTACTTCATTTTCCTGAGCATATTTACCAATTCTCTGAGAGCTTCATACAGTATATTTTGATCATCTTCCTGGCCTCCTTTCCTTATCTCCTGGATCCACTCTCACTTCCCTAATCCTACCCCAAGTTCGTGTCCTTTTCTTTTTTTTAATTTAATAACCCACTTACTCCAATTTATGCTGTCAGTACTTAATCTTTTATTTTTGATGTCAAGATTAAACAACACCAAAATAGTGATTTTCATTTAAAAACTATATGAATTTTTAGGGTAATAAATCTTAAAACAGGAATCTTCCTATGATTATTGCCTTATTTTATCTTCAAGGATAATTATTAGATATGTGTTTATAATATTTTAATGACAAATAACTTCCTACTGTCATAAAAATGGAGAGATGTAGCACAAATCTTAAAAGGTCTTATTAATAAAAACAAACCTGGAGCAAGGTATTGGGGGTGAACGCTGAAAGATCAGAGAAACAGACCAAGCCACAGATAACCTCACCTTGCCAATTTCTCAGCCGATCCTGTTTCCTCAAACTGGAAGCCTCTGAGTCCTCACCCAAATGGATCTCAGCTGAACTGCTGCTAAAAGCCTAAAAGCTTAACAGCCAAGTTCCTGGTCCTCACTCCTTATATACCTTTCTGCTTCCTGCCATCACTTCCTGGGATTAAAGGTGTGTGTCACCATTCCTGGCGGTTTCCAGTATGGCCTTGAACTCACAGAGATTTGGATGGGTCTCTGCCTCCCAAGTGATGGGATTAAAGGTGTGTATGCCACCATTTTCTGGCCTCTATGTCTGTCTAGTGGCTGTTCTGTTTTCTGACCCCAGATAAGTTTATTGGGGGACACAATATCACCACAGAGAGAATGCATTTAAAGTAAGGATAATAAATGGTTTTTCTCTATAAATTACATAATCTGAAAATCACAAGGCCTTATTACCCATAAGTATTGAGTTTCATATCTTTTCATACAAAGGTCAATCTACAGCCTTGCACATACAGCGTGCATAGCTACTCAGACATTTTCTTGTTTTCTGAATCAGGCTTTAAAAACTGAGTGATGACCTAAGTACCAACCAATTCCAAAACTATGCAAGTTACACTAGAAGATGTAGTTTCCAACCTAAAGGAGCACCTGCTTGAGTCCATATAAACTAGAGAATCATATTAAGCTGTATACATCATAGGAACCATAGACTATAACTATATGAGAGTTGAGAGCTAAAGTTATAAAGTAATTAATAAATTATTTAAGTGTGATGAGAACTGCTGTAGTTCAAAGGAGGGTTAGGATTTGAGACTTTAAAATAATCATGATGCCAAACGGTAGAGCAAGAATAGTCGTAGAGACTAAGAAAAATGGAATAGAGAAGAATCACTTAGACATTCAATAAATATTCAGCACCAGCAACATAGAAAGTACTCTGAGAATGCAATTGTAATACAAATTAAATGGCATCTGCCCTTCAGGAGCTTGAGCTCTATAGAAAAGTAAGGAATCAAAAGAATAGACTCTTGAGTGGTCTAAAGTGGTCCATGGTGCAACTGAGTAGAATGCAAATGAGGGAAATTCTGGCTGGGCTGATCAGCAAATGCTTCAAGGAAGTGACATTAAACCTTGGCCCTACAGGGACCCTGATAAGCAGAGAAAATAAATGGGTGGGAAGAACAGTACAGACGGGAGGGACACCTAGGGAGTCAGCCGTCAGCCATGACCAGACACGTACCATTTGTGATCTCATTTGTTCCTTTTCGTCAGGCTGGATCTTCTCAGGGAGAAGCAAGGGAGCTGTGTCTCACAAACATGAAACCCTGCCTTGCTGGACTGAGCAGTGCAGCAGCATTCTTTACATGGAAGCCACTTCCTTGGGATTCAGCAAGGCATCTCACAAGGCTGTGATGGCATTCTGGAGAACAAAGGCTAGATCTAAGCTAAGAACACAGGGTGCTCAGCAGGTCGTTTTAGTGGAGAGAACAAGGCACAGGCTTAAGAGGGAAGAGCTTCCTCTCTCCTCCTCCTGACAGGACAGCAGGTAAGGAGGAGAAAGAGGTGATGCAGAGGAGGGTGGGAAACAAGCTACCTTTTGCCAAGCGGGCCACTGTATCATTTCTTTTTTCTTCAGTAGACTTGATGAAATTGCAGAAGACATTTGTTGATGACACAATTAAGTGTGCATCAGCAGGCAAAGCAGTTCCATCCCCTGCAGAGATGGGCTGAATGTCAGACAGAATTGGGCAGGAAAACAGAACTTCAGCACTTGGGTTGAAATTATTACCATTCACCAATTCAGTATCTGCTCTGCCTTCCGTAGCCCACCAGGAAAAGTATACTCTTGGGGATATTACAAATATCCTATTTAGCGGGGCTGAAGAGATGGTTCAGTGGAGAAACCACTTGGTGCACGAGAATGAAGAGGACCACAGTTTGGATCCCCAGGACCCACAAAAGAGCTAG